GGCTGGTTACTACCGTAGGTTTGTGGAGGGATTTTCTTCCATTGCTGCCCCACTTACAACCTTGACAAAGAAGAAATCCAAGTTTGAATGGACGGATACTTGTGAGAAGAGTTTCCAGGAGCTCAAGGACAGACTCACTTCAGCCCCGGTGCTTACTCTGCCTAAGAGTGGCGAGAATTACACTGTCTATTGTGATGCATCTAGGGTCGGTTTGGGATGTGTTCTTATGCAGGCTGGTAAGGTGATAACTTATGCTTCTAGACAGCTCAAGGTTCATGAAAAGAATTATCCCACTCATGACTTGGAGTTGGCAGCTGTGGTGTTTGCGTTGAAGTTATGGAGGCATTATCTGTATGGAGTACATGTGGATGTGTTCACGGATCATAAGAGTCTCCAGTACGTGTTCACGCAGAGGGAGCTGAATCTACGGCAACGCAGATGGTTGGAGCTGCTGAAGGATTATGACATGAATGTGCACTATCATCCAGGTAAGGCTAATGTTGTGGCTGATGCCTTGAGCAGGATGAGCATGGGGAGTACAACCCACGTTGAGGATGAGAAGAAGGAGCTAGTGAAAGAGGTACACAGATTGGCCAGACTGGGTGTGCGGTTGGTTGGCTCTACTAGTGGAAGTGTTTCAGTTCACCCTAGTTCTGAATCATCCCTGATAGTGGAAGTCAAAAAGGGTCAGCATCTTGATCCTGTGTTGATGGAGATGAAGGACTCAGTGTTGTTAAAAATGAATGAGTCTTTTGCTTTGGGAGATGATGGCATACTTAGATACCAGAACCGGTTGTGCGTACCAGATGTAGATGATTTACGGACCAAGATTGTTACAGAGGCCCATGGTTCCAGATATTCCATACATCCAGGTTCCACAAAAATGTATCATGATCTTAAGCAGATTTATTGGTGGGGATGGCATGAAGAAAGATATTGCAGACTATGTGGCTAAGTGTCCTAATTGTTAGCAGGTTAAGGAAGAGCATCTTAAGCCTGGTGGTCTGACTCAGATTATTGAGGTCCCGACTTGGAAATGGGAGGCCATTAATATGGACTTCGTAGTTGGTCTTCCGAGGACTAGGAGGCAGCATGACTCTATATGGGTTGTTGTGGACAGATTGACTAAGTCTGCCCACTTTATCCCTGTGAAGTCTACTTACAGGGGCCGAGGATTACGCGAGACTCTACATTGATGAGATTGTGAGATGGCATGGGATTCCTTTGTCTATTATTTCAGATAGAGGAGCTCAGTTTACTTCGCATTTTTGGAGACCTTTCCAGAAAAGCTTAGGCACGCAGGTGAAACTTACAGCGCTGGCACGTCACTCGGCTCCTCGGCTCACTTCGGCACTGCCTTTCATCCTCAGACAGATGGGCAGGCAGAGCGCACTATTCAGACATTGGAGGACATGTTGAGAGCGTGTGTGATTGACTTTAGAGGTAATTGGGATGACCATCTACCTTTGATAGAGTTCTCGTATAATAATAGCTATCACTCCAGCATTGGGATGGCACCGTTTGAGGCATTGTATGGTAGGAGGTGTAGATCTCCAGTTGGGTGGTTCGAGGTTGGAGAGTCATCTATTTTGGGTCCAGAGATCATTCATGAGGCCTTGGAGAAAGTTAGAATGATTAGGGACAGGTTGGCTACTGCTTACAGCCGACAAAAGTCATACGCAGACAATCGAAAGCGACCCTTAGAATTTAACGTTGGTGACCAAGTTTACTTGAAGATATCACCTATGAAAGGGGTGATGCGATTTGGTAGAAAAGGGAAGCTTAGTCCGAGGTATGTGGGGCCATATGAGATCCTACAGCGCGTGGGTGAAGTGTCCTATGAGTTAGCATTGCCTACGGAGCTAGCGTCTGTTCATACAGTCTTTCATGTCTCTATATTGAAGAAGTGCCTAGGTGATCCAGCATCAATCCTACCTGTAGAAGGTTTGGGGGTTGGTGAAGACTTGTCCTATGAGGAAATACCTGTTGAGATCTTAGACAGACAGGTCAAGCAGCTGAGGAACAAAGAGATTACCACAGTGAAGGTATTGTGGAGAAACCATCTTGTTGAGGGTGCTACGTGGGAGGCTGAGGCCGACATGAGATCCCGATATCCACATCTTTTCAACTCTTGAGGTTAGGCTTCCTACTCGTAAGACTATAGTTCCTTATCTCTTCGTATTTGTTGTTATTGGTTGATTGTACATAGCAATTAAGTTATGATCTGATTGACATTATGAGGTGTAATGGTAGTGTCATTCGGGGACGAATGTTCCTAAGGGGGGGATAATGTAACGATTCAAAAAAAAGAAGAGAATTATATAAATAAGAATAAATAGGTATTTAAGGGCATGATTGTCCTTTCACGTTTTAAATGAATAAATAAATAAATAAGTAAATAAATAAAATAGATTTGTATTTATTTATTTTAAATGTTATTTGACTAATTCTTGAATTAGTCTCCTAATCCAAATAGTCCTCTCTCTCTCACGCTTCTTAACTCCCTCTCTCATGCATGTCCCTCGTGTGTAATTGCATATACTCATACTTAGTACAAGTGTGTACTAATTCCATACGAATATCTACTTTTAGGTGCAGGCACAGGTGGACGCTAGAGCTACAGGTTCGTTGTCGCAGCTATCCGGACATCAGTATTCATCCGGAGTTTGGTAGGTCCTCATGCTTTCGAGGATGCTACTGTTTTACATTCTAGCGTAGTTTTAGAGTTGAGCTAGTGGAGCATGTTCCACTAGCGTTTCTTTCCTGTTTTGGTTCAAACTTTGTATTGGTGCTATTTTGGCCGATATACAATTAATACTTAATGAATTATTTTTTTCAGTTGCTTATCTCTTAAATGTTAGATGGTTGATGATGAACGATTACGAAATGTTAAGAATGTTCAGCAAGTATGATTAAAGAATAAAAAATTTCAAATTTTCCGCTAAAATTAATCTATGTAAAGTAAGAATGACATAAGTAGGCTTGTCTGCGACCTCTGAGAGGTCAACGACGCTTGGTCTCGTCTGGGGTCTAGATTCCGGTCGTGACAAATACCTGTTTCAACTCATATCGCATCCTTCTCATCTCGAGGTCCTAATTCTGTTGCCCCTGCAATACTTAAGGTATGATTTTACTACGCCATTGCTTACACTTTAGTAAATACAAAAGCAATAGCATATGAATTATCCATTCTAAAATTAATGTTTGATAATGTTGCAGCCGGATATAGCAGCTCCAGGAGTCGATATATAGGCTGCTATTCCTCCTGATGAAACTCCGTACAAGTTTGATTCAGGAACATCCATGGCAGCTCCTCACATTTCTGGCATTGTCGCATTGCTCAAGTCCCTGCACCCACATTGGTCTCCAGCTGCTATCAAGTCTGCACTTGTCACAACAGGTTTTTACTCTGCAAACATCTAATTTGTCATTTATCTTTTGGTTCTTCTAAATCAACTTGTCATGTTGTACATGCAGCATGGCAAACGGACCCTCATTTCCGGGGAACCAATTATAGCTAAGGGAATACAGATAAGATTGCTGATCCATTTGATTTCGGTGGTGGACTCAGTGAATGCAAATGATCCTAGCCTAGTCTATGATATGGGAGAGTCTAACTATGTTTTTAATTATTTGTACACTAGTGCCATCAGTAGAATCACTAACAGATTTGTTACTTGTGCAAACAATTCTTGATTTCATTCTTCCTTGTTTAACAATACCAAGTCTCGGAAAATAAGTGTCACCAACGTTGGACTAGTGAACTCCCAATATAAGGCTATCATTGAGCATTACCATTCATTTAATGCCTGAAACTTTGATATTCAATTCCAGCAGTGGCTTCTATGCAAGAAATATCAGAAATGAGCATTTATACTGTACACTACTTCTCTACTGATTAGTTATTTTATTTTACTAATAAAAACTACTCTTTACATTATAATTTGCCCCTTTCTGCTGACTTTTCGTGTAGTTTTTAATATCTTTTTATCTAATTTAAATGTGAATATTTGTTAAAATGACTCTTAATATTGAAAGACTAAGTTTTTTCCCTTTCCTATCTTAAAACCTTATTATCTCCACATTTTCTTGTCATTTTACTAGACCAAACAAAGGGAGGCTGAAATTTAAAGGTGTCTATATTGTCAACATCATTTCTCTAATTTGCAACTAAAATAGGAGAATATCTATTTTTTTCCCCTTCAATTCCTTTGCAAGCAATGAAACATATCTTTTACAGCACTCCCTATATCAGTGAGAGGCATCAGATTTGAGGGACCAAGCAGTGCTTACTGCTCCATGATTGCTCCAATTCTTCGAATGCCATCTGGCATTTCGCCATTGCAGAGTCCAGGTTCAGCTACCCCTGGGGAATCTTCCTATCAGGCGAATCCATTCCTTGCGCTAAATTGTGAAAGTAGGAGCTCTCAAAAATTTCACTCACAGAGTGATCAAAACAACAGTGATTCGTCCGCTTACAATGAGGGTAAGAGAGGGCACATGTCTGAACCTACAACTGATTGCGAACGTTTTCCCTCTGCAACTGATCAAACTATAAATAGCATTTGCTGCAATGGTGATCTAAACCACGTTCATTTGAGTTATGGAAGCAACGGAAACATCTCACTTTCACCAGGCAAAACACCGGCAGAGTATTGGAAAGAAGAAAGCCTTCACACTACTGATGGGAACTCTCAGCGATCTCAAAGAGAAGCAGCTCTTACAAAATTTCGCATGAAGCGGAAAGACAGATGCTTCGAAAAGAAGGTATGTCAAATTCATCATTTCCTATCAAAAGCTCGTCTTGTATTTGACATATCATTATCTTCACCGTGAAATTAACTGGTGGCAGACTCATGTTAAAAATTATCTCACTTAGAACAAAAGATCCTGTTAGCATAACATTTCTCCCCTAAATTACCAATGAAAAGGCAAATAAGTTATCAACAAGACAGACTGGTAGACAGTAAAGCCAGATAAATAGAACTAATTTTTATTAAGAGTTGTTAAAGACCACTGGGCAATTTATGAATGATCATTTTAGAGCAAATGTATTTTACTTCAATGTATTGTTCTGTCATTTCTTATCAATCATTTTCGTTGTGATTTGCTCACAGGTACGATATGAAAGCAGGAAAAAACTTGCTGAACAGCGTCCCAGAGTTAAAGGACAGTTTGTTCGTCACGTTCCTAGTGAGTCTTCGCCAGGTAACTCATAGGCAGATTGGCCATATAGGATCACAAATTCATCCAACCAAAGATAAGTGGTGTCAAATGACTGGAGATACTATCCTTCCAAAGTTCAAGGAACAAACGAGAGGATGACCAAGTGTTTATGATGCTAGGGTCACTCACTTATGCACTCCACGTTGATACTGATAGTGTGCATTTATTGTTAATAGGAATCACAACCTAGTGAGGAGTTCTCTACATTTTTGTGAAGGAGGGCAGCCCTGCCTTTTGTTTGCGATGTTAAATACGTGTGGTACATCTCTCAGTTAACATATAGGTTAGAAACGTCCAAATACCCATTTTTATATTCATGACTAGGATCAGTTCACATCTCTTGTCATAGTTGGTGAGCTGATCAAATCCTTTTTCAAGTTTGTAAATTATTGGAGTCCTTTTGTTCTACTTATCTCGATCATCAGATGTAGCATACCACGACTAGCTCTAGGCCTATGTACAGAGAATTAACAGAGTTTCTGGCATCTGCTCTGGTTTATTTTTGTTTCTGTTTATAGAAGAAATATGTTGTTGTGGCATTGTTACATATATATAGTCAAGTAATTGTTTCTTTCTTAAGAGTCATGATCAATGTGATGCATACTGCCAGTCTTCTCCACACAGCATAAATGGGTAACTGTTTCCATTTTCTCAATCATTTCTTCGAAACTTGGCATGCTCGAGTTCTTTGATTGAAAGAGGACCTCCAAAAAAACAAAAAAACCAGCAAGTACAAGCCTGAATTGAAAGGGAAAAAACAGTGAATAGCATTTAAGAGCAAGGAAAGTAAAAAAAGAAAAGGAGGGGGGAACTTGAGTGGCCTTAAATTATGGTAAAAAGAAATGGGCCATGGATGTTGGTACCTGATAAACCAAAAACTACAAAAGCTTGACAACAACTAGATTCCCGGTTTTATATCCTGCCATATGCGTGCAGCCTAAGAGTTAAGATCCTCTGCTTTATTGCCTGCAAAGTTGATATGAATGTTGTCTATTATTTATGTTATTATAGGAGTACTCAATAGTTGTTCCTCATCCGTCGTCTACTTTTACATGTTCACTATACTCAAAGTAAGTTCATATCCATTTTTACTTGTCTCGTTCAAGAAATAATTTATTCTTATAATTAATAAACTATCGTAATTTTCTAAAGCATTGAATTTGTTACATATATCATTCTGTTTATATTAGAGGTGTGTCAAGTAAATATTGAACAAGTAAAAATGAATGCCTATTACTCCCTTCGTCTCATATTACTTGTCCAATTTTCCCTTTCACACGTAAATGGAACAGTTTACAGGATGGGAAAAAGAGTTGCGTGAAATTTTGCACAACAGAAATGAGAAATGAAATGAAATGAAATAAGAGATTGACTAGGCATAAAGCAAAACACAAAGTTGAGGGCAATATATTAATATCAGTGGACCTGTACCCTGTCTTTATCAAAGTAAAATGAGATAGGTCCATTAGCAAAGAAAAAGTTTCACTTGTTACAAAAGAGTAATGATGATGGGATACACTCAAACACAACTTTCTCCTCATTCATTCTTGAAATTAATTTTGTCATTTAGAGCTAAATCCTTCGTTGTTATAAAAGTGATTCATATATATCCATATATAAAAGTGATTCATATTTACAAGCCTTTTTTTTCGTATAATATTTCTCTTGCTTTATCTTGATATTTCTCATTATCGCTAGTACCTTTTAAAGTAGTCATCATCAATTTATTTGTTATTTCAATTTCTTTTCAAGATCGAACAACAATTAAAATCATAACCTATTGTGCCCGTCAGAGTGACTTTTTGGGATAATTGGCATGATTCATGCGTTTTTGATGGAGCTATTTGCACCCTTAAAACCAGACACGAATTGCAGCTAATAGAATTAATGGAATTGACACCAATACTTATTATTCCACTATTCAATTATTTCATATAAATTGTCTGAGGTTACTAAAAATAAGTATCTCAATTACTTGTCATTTTTACAAAGTTAAAATGAAACTACTTATCTTATCCAATTTTACCCTTCGTACGTATTCGATGTCTTGAGATAAAATTAGCTTAATTTTGTTTTTAAATGAAGTGTAATATATATGGGAGAGAAATAAATGTGAATCAGTGAAAAAAATACATTCCTATTTACAAAACGTGCTAAAAGAAATGTGACTGAGGACGGAACTGGTGAAAGAGTATAACTCAAACAGGATTACATTTCACATATTTAAATGCGCTTCATAGTCAGCATATTCTTCAATTTATAATTTATTGCTTATGTAACTTCTTGGTGCTCTGCCTTTTTTTAAAAAAAGAAGCTTTTGTTCTTGGCCCCAAACAATAATTAAGCTAACTTTTCATGATGCCTCTATCTTTTTGGATCGTGACATCAAGAAGAAGAAATCATGATCAGAACCTAAATTGCACGATTTCCGTCTGTCCAGATTGATATAAATAGTGAAGAACTGAAGATGAATGACAAATATTATCACCTCGATCGTTTTGGCTAATTCACAAAATGAGCATCAGCTACTTTCTTGAATATAAATTGGCTTTCACTGCTCTGCTCCTTTTTTTGAACTTGTCGGACTTATTAGTATCTCAAGCAAATGCTGAAAGCAAAGTGAGTTGAGTAGATGTATGAATGATTTCTTGTATGGTATACAAGTTCATTATTTGTGTCACTGATTGATCTAATAGTATCAGAAATGATTGCTAAATATATAGGTTCATATCGTTTACATGGGAAGAAGGCAACACGATGATGTTGAACTCGCAACATCAGCTCACCATCAATTACTTACTTCAGTAATGGGAAGGTAACCAAAAGGAAAGATCAACAGATTTAATCTTCTCTTCTCTGCTCTCGACTATTTAATTCACAACTTCATGTTTTCTCCTGATGCAGTCAAAAAGCTGCAAGAGATTCAATCATCTATAGTTATAAACATGGTTTCTCTGGCTTTGCAGCCAGGTTAACGAAATCTCAAGCCAAAAAGATTGCAGGTAAATTATAGTACTACTTTGCATTGCAATCTCTCTCGCAAGTAGGACTTGTAAAAAAGTTTGAACATGACATACTTGTTGGTTAAATTTGGCACAAAAATGTTTGAGTGATGTGAATTTGTCGCAGAGTTACCTGATGTGGTCCATGTGGTTCCTAATCATTTTTTCAAATTGCACACAAGAAGAAGTTGGGATTATCTTGGCCTTTCCGAATCTTCTCCTCCAACTAACCTCCTTCATGAAGCCAACATGGGCGATGGTATCATCATAGGAGTTCTTGATACAGGTTTTCCTCACTCCATTCATAAAGACAAGAATAGATAAGCTTACCGCATAAAACTGAACATACCAGTGTAATCCCACTTTTCGGGTCTGGAGAAGGTAGAATGTATGTAGAATCTACTTCTACCTCCTCAGGTAGAGGTTACCAATAGTCTTGGTAAAAGTACCAAATAGTGTACAAAATTATTTGTTATGTTTCAAAACTCTAAAGTACCTATTGATTGACTCAAAATACAGGAATATGGCCAGAAAGTGAAGCATTCAATGACAAAGGCCTAGGGCCAATCCCTTCAAGATGGAAGGGCCATTGTCAGTCTGGTGATAAATTTGATCCAGCTACGGCATGTAACAGGAAACTAATTGGATCAAAGTACTATCTAAAGGGTTTTGAAGCAGCGGCTGGACGGCCAGCAATCAAAGATCCTGATTTTCTCAGGTTTGACATAGCGTCACCAAGGGATAGAGATGGACATGACACCCACACATCAAGCACTGCTGGTGGCTCGTTCACACCAAATGCAAGTTACCATAGACTTGGTTATGGTACAGTTAAGGGTGGTGCACCCAAGGCTCGGATTGCTATGTACAAGGTGTGCTGGAATTGGCTTATAGGAGGATGTACCTTTGCTGATACAATGATGGCTATTGATGAAGCAATTCATGATGGAGTTGATATTTTATCCATATCCCTTGGCTTAGAAATACCTCTGTACGCTGATATTGATATGCGCAATGGCATTGCTTTTGCATCCTTCCATGCTGTCAGTAAGGGGATTACAGTTATTTGTTCAGGAGGAAACGAAGGGCCATATCCCCAAACTGTAGTGAATATATCACCATGGATCCTTACTGTGGCAGCTTCAAGTATTGATAGGTCATTTCCCACACTCATTACATTAGGCAATAATCAGACTTTTTCTGTAAGTTCTCTTACTTTTGTAAAGATATCATACTTGAAAAGAAAAAGAAAACAAACGTTATTATCTGTAGGGTCAATCCATGTATACTGGAAAGGAGACTGGATTTATTGGCATTGCACATCAAGAAATCTCTGAGCTTGAAGATACACGGTATGTTTCTAATAATTGGCTACTATAAGTCATCAACAGATACCCAAATTAACCACCCCTATTCTTCTTGTTAAACGTTGTCCATCTCCGACAGTCATTTCTGTGTCTTCAAAGGGGTCATTTACATGATCAGGAGGCATAGGGCTTTTTTCTTCTTTCATTGTGTTGATCTTGTTGCAAGCTAAATTAGCATGAATTCATGGATTTTGAAGCTTTTGCAACAACTTGAATACAAATGATACATGGGCGGCTGGAAAAGTAGTGCTTTGCTTCATTGTTAAAGGAGATGAGTTGTATTTGCCATTTACTCAACAAGTTGTCCAGGAGGTTGGAGGCTTGGGATTGATTGTTGCGAAGAACCCAACCAGAGATTTGAACTATTTAACGTTTGACTTTCCATGTATTGAAGTTAATTTTGATGTTGGCTCTCAATTGCTCAATTACATCAGATACTCCAGGTAATGAAAATATTTGATTCTTTTCCTTTTTCCTGTAGAGAATCTTAAATCACTTCACTTGGTGCTTATAACTATTGCTAAGAAATAATGCAGGAAACCACAAGTAAAGCTGAATCCTACACGAACTCATGTTGGGCAACCTGTTTCAACACATCTTGCTTCCTTCTCATCCCGAGGTCCTAATTCTGTTGCCCCTGCCATACTTAAGGTAAAACTTTGTTATGAATCTCGCACACTATGTAGCACTTACTAATTGTAATATTGCATCACATTTCTAAATTATAGTGTCTCATGTCACAGCCAGATATAGCAGCTCCAGGAGTCAATATATTGGCTGCTGTTCTTCCTGCAGACACTCCATACAGGTTTGAATCAGGAACATCCATGGCAGCTCCTCACGTGTCTGGCATTGTTGCCTTGCTCAAGTCCCTTCACCCACATTGGTCTCCAGCTGCTATCAAGTCTGCACTCGTTACAACAGGTATTCGCAAAAATCCCATTTCTCCAATAAAATTCCAAATGAATTTGTCTCAAAAACATTAATGTTTGAATTAATGGATGTCCACGCAGCATGGGTAACAGATCCTCATTCTGGGGAACCAGTTATATCTGAGGGAAATCCAAACAAGCTTGCTGATCCATTTGATTTCGGTGGTGGACTCGTGAACACAAATGGTGCAAAAGATCCTGGCCTAGTCTATGATATGGGAACCTTTGACTACATTCTTTATTTGTGCTCAATGGGCTATAACAATAGTGCCATCAGTATGCTCATTGATCAAGCTGCATCTTGTCCAATCAAGAGACCTTCAATTCTTGATGTTAATCTTCCTTCTCTAACCATACCAAGTCTCAGGAAAAAAGTTAGAAGAACCGTCACCAATGTTGGACCAGTGAACTCCAAATATGAAGCCATCATTGAACCTCCACTGGGCATTACCATAAAAGTAAAGCCTGAAACTTTGATATTCAACTCTAGCACCAAGAAAATCTCTTTCACTATCACCATTTCAACCAGCCACAAATACACCACATACTATTATTTCGGGAGCTTAACTTGGACTGACGGGATGCACCGAGTAAGAAGTCCTACATCTGTGAGAAACGAGTTTCCAGAACTTAATGGCTAGAATAAACGATGGATGCAAGAGTTTGTTAATTTATCTCAATGCATTTGTGTAATCTAAGTATGTATCAGTGGATTCTTGACTGAAGTACTCTGCAAGATAAATCTTTTTAGCTTCCCTGTAGTAAAAGAAGAATCTCCCTTACAATGACTTGAAGAGTTCAAACATATAACAACTTTTATAAATTATCACAGTAGACTAAAACACTAGACCAACTAAAGGGTAATACTAATTAGGCAAAGATAACACATCAAAATTAAAACAAAATTAGGAGTGTTAACTTTCTTAATCACTCAATTCAAGCTTATAATTAAAAAATGGGTCATACTTTTCGCCGTTTAAGCAGATTTTCCCATCATTGACACAGTCAGGAACGTGCTTCCAGTTTATGGGTGGAGAGCAAACTATGGTGATTTGTCAGGATTTCAAAGTAAAATTCGTGTAATCGCTAATATTTGATATTAGTCAAGAGTCTAGACTATCCTTAGTAGCAAGTTATGTTGTTTTTGTCAGGGCCATCATTTATTCAGCATTTGTGGCTGAAATTCTGGTATCTATCTGGCGATCCATCAGGATTTGTGGCTAAATTTTGGTATCTGTCTGGCGATCCATCAAGATTTGTGGCTAAATCCTGCGGATAAGCATAATATGTGGTGTAGAAATTCACCAAATTGTTTTACTACAAAATTGATCCAAATGACTTCGAATTTTAACAGCAATCCAACAATTTTCAATAGGCTGAATGAAACATTACCGACTCAATATGAACCACAAATGAAGGAGAAAACTTGAAAACTGACTCTTAGGAAATCTATCCCGCATAAATCCTAATATTATTAATTCAACTCATTTTGATCCACCGAATTAAGCTCAACTCAACATTTCTCGCCCCTAGTTGAAGCTCTATACAGTAAGTCTTGTCTTGGCAGGAAGAGTTCGAAAAGCTAGACAATATGTGACAGAACTTTTGTAAGCAAATAAAAAAGTTTCAAAGATTAAACAAGTGAACTGTAATGATGATAGAACATAGAACATTGTCGCAATATGATCAATCATATTATTGCTGGATGGGGCACCCCTAGCTTGAGACAGCGTAAACTTCAAGTTAACCAATAATATAAGCTCTCACATTGCCCCGCCACTTTTGGCACCACATACTAATAATGGAGGAAGTACTAGTTAACCTGCAATTCATTTTGGTTATAATTTTCACAATACTCCTCAGGCAACTATGGTATAGCGTATAGCGGGAGCTTAGTGTGTCTGGCTTCTTTTATAGTACAAAATATAGAAGGTTTGCACTACTAAAACCAGTATGAAATTGCAGCTATACAATTAACTAATGAGATGATTCCACTGTTTAATAAGTGAGTACCATATATAATTCAAACATGATTATATTTCACACATTATTTAATCAGCATATTCTCCAATCCCATCTTACACATAATTTATTTTACGTATTATATTAGGACTTGCTAAAGAACCCATCTGTGCTTGGTGCTTTCTAACATTTGTTCTTGGCCACGGTATAATTAATTAAGCTAACTTTTCATGATGCCTCTATCTTTTGGATCATGACACCAAGAAGAAGACATCATGATCAGATCCTAAATCGCACGATTACCATCTATCAAATGTAAATTAGCTTTTACTGATCTACACCTTTTCTTGAACTTGTCAGACTTCTTAGGAATTCAAGCAAATGCTGAAAGCAAAGTGAGTAGTTATTACAACAACCTATTCTGCAATTTCTCAATTATGTTTCACTGTAAAATTAATAATACAAGAAATGATTGCTAAAATATAGGTTCATGTCGTTTTCAGGGAAGAAGGCAACATGATGATATTGAACTCACAACATCAGCTCACCATGAAATACTTTATTTCAGTACAGGGAAGGTAACTGAGGAAAGATCAACAAATTGGTTTTCTCTTCTCTTTGAAGTAATATGTGCAGACTATTTAGTTCAGAAGCTGCAATAGATTCAAATATCTATAGTTATAAGCATGGTTTCTCCGGCTTTGCAGCCAGGTTAACAAAATCTCAAGCCAAAAAGATTGCAGGTAAACTGTAGTAGTATTTTGCAATCTCTCTCTTTAGCTGGTAAAGTAGGACTTCAAAAAAAGTTTGAAGATGACATACTTGTTGGTTAAATTTGGCATGCTATAGTTCAATTGGAATCGCGTGATATTTCCATGGTATCCCCTCATTGAATTTGTTGCAGAGTTACCTGATGTGGTCCATGTGATCCCAAATCAACTGTACAAGTTACACACGACAAGAAGCTGGGATTACCTTGGCCTGTCCACATTTTCTCCTCCAACAAACCTCCTTCATGAAGCCAACATGGGAGATGGCGTCATCATCGGTGTCCTTGATACAGGTTTTCCTATCATTCTCTTTATGTGGGTCAAATGGAAAAACAATCTTTTGATTAATGCATTCATAGAGGCAGGAATTCTATTAGAAGGAATATTGCTGCAGTCTTAAGTACGTAGCGATGCACAAGGTGATCACTTGTTATATTTTCAGAAGTCTAAAATACCTACTCACTCAAACTACAGGAATATGGCCAGAATGTGAAGCGTTCAATGACAAAGTCCTTGGGCCAATCCCTTCAAAATGGAAGGGTGACTGTCAGTCTGGTACAGATTTTGATACAGCTAAGGCATGCAATAAGAAACTAATTGGAGCAAAATACTTTCTAAAAGGTTTTGAAGCAGAGTTGGAAGGTCATTTCTTAAGAATGAGTTTGCGTCACCAAGGGATGGAAATGGACATGGCACACACACATCAAGCATTGCGGGTGGATCCTTTGCACCAAATGCAAGTTACCATGGACTTGCTTATGGGACAGTTAGGTGTGGTGCACCCAAAGCTCGAATTGCTATGTATAGGGTGTGTTGGGATAAGTGGAGTACGTAAATCTGCTGATATAATAAAAGGCATTGATGAAGCAATCAACGATGGAGTTGATATTTTATCCATATTCATTGGCTTAACCACACCTCAGTATGCAGATGTTGATATGCGCAATGGCATTGCTTTTGCATCCTATCATGCTGTTGACAGGGGAATTACAGTTGTTTGTTCAGGTGGAAATAAAGGTCCAATTGCCCAAACGGTAGATGATATACATCACCATGGATAATAACTGGAGCAGCTTCTATTATTGATAGGTCCTTTCCCACACTCATTACATTAGGCAACAACCAGACTCTCATTGTAAGTTCTCTTAATCAAATAAATGTATATGAATTACGTACAACTTAACAATGAATACCCAAAAAGATTTGTTACTAATATGTTTTTCTTGAAACTAGTTTCTTTCAATAACTTGATTGATGCAAGCTAAAAAGCACAAATTAATGGATTTTGAAGCTACTGCGACAAGTTAAATGCAAATGATAAATGGGCGGCTGGAAATGTGGTGCTTTGCTTCCTTGTTCAAGGGGATGACTTACTACTATCAACAACTCAAGAAGTATTACAGGAGGTTGGCGGCTTGGGATTGATTGTTGCTAAGAACCCAACCACAGACTTGAATATTTACGCATCTGATTTCCCAAGTATTGCAGTCAGTTTTGATGTTGGAGCTCAATTACTCGATTACATTAGATACTCCAGCTAAACAAAGATGTCTGATTCTTTTCATTTCGCTATAGAGAAATCTTAAATCACTTCATTAGTTGCTTAAAACCACTGTTAAGAAATAATGTAGGAAGCCACAAGTTAAGTTGAGTGCTCCAAAAACTCATGATGGGATACCTGTTTCAACTCATATCGCATCCTTCTCATCTCGAGGTCCTAATTCTGTTGCCCCTGCAATACTTAAGGTATGATTTTACTACGCCATTGCTTACACTTAGTAAATACAAAAGCAATAGCATATGAATTATCCATTCTAAAATTAATGTTTGATAATGTTGCAGCCGGATATAGCAGCTCCAGGAGTCGATAAATAGGCTGCTATTCCTCCTGATGAAACTCCGTACAAGTTTGATTCAGGAACATCCATGGCAGCTCCTCACATTTCTGGCATTGTCGCGTTGCTCAAGTCCCTGCACCCACATTGGTCTCCAGCTGCTATCAAGTCTGCACTTGTCACAACAGGTCTTTACTCTGCAAACATCTAATTTGTCATTTATCTTTTGGTTCTTCTAAATCAACTTATCATGTTGTACATGCAGCATGGCAAACGGACCCTCATTTCCGGGGAACCAATTATAGCTAAGGGAATACAGATAAGATTGCTGATCCATTTGATTTCGGTGGTGGACTCAGTGAATGTAAATGATCCTGGCCTAGTCTATGATATGGGAGAGTCTGACTATGTTTTTAATTATTTGTACACTAGTGCCATCAGTAGAATCACTAACAGATTTGTTACTTGTGCAAACAATTCTTGATTTCAATCTTCCTTCTTTAACAATACCAAGTCTCGAAAAATAAGCGTCACCAACGTTGGACTAGTGAACTCCCAATATAAGGCTATCATTGAGCCTCCACTGGGCATTACCATTCATGTAATGCCTGAAACTTTGATATTCAATTCGAGCGATGCAAGAAAAATCAGAAATGAGCATTTATACTGTACACTACTTCTCTACTGATTAGTTATACTAATAAAAACTACTCTTTACATTATAATTTGTTTTGTGTAGTTTATAGTATCTTTTTATCTAATTTAAATTTGAATATTTGTTAAAATGAGTCTTACTATCCAAAGACTAAGTTTTTTCCCTTTCCTATCTTAAAACCTTATTATCTCCACATTTTCTTGTCATTTTACTAGACCAAACAAAGGGAGGCTGAATTTAAAAGGTGACTATATTGTCAACATCATTTCTCTAATTTGCAACTAAATAGGAGGAAAATTTGGCTCAAAATAAGAATATCTAATTTTTTTCCCTTCAATTCCTTTGCAAGCAATGAAAATAGATATTTTTGTTCGTTCCCTTCCCTATTATTCAATATTAGTTTGGTAGCAAATAAGTTGAATTTCTGCCTAGTTCCATCATTTCATTAAATTTTCTAATGAAAACACATTCTCATTCTAATGCCGGAAATAGTATTAATGCCCTAACTAAATACAATGATTTGAGTAATCCTTAATTCTCCAGAGAATTGATTTTGTAGGTTACGT